GCTCTGGTGGTGAGGGTTCACCCCACGAGGCCCGCCGGGGTCTCGCGGTCCGAGTCCCCATTTGATATGCGAGACCCCGCGGAGGGGCCGGGGCCGGGCGGTGATGGACCAGCGCGCCGCGCCCCAGGCCGGGTGGGACAGGTGGCCGAAGGCGAGGGCCGGACGCCGGAGAGCGCTACGAACAGCCATTTTGGTCTCCGGGTGGGGTGGGCCGGACGGCCGCGGACCCCCGCGGACCCCCGAGCGCCGGCGGGAGCCCCTGCTTCCCGGTGCGCGCCTGGTCTCTCAGCGCCCACAGAGGTCTGCGTACGGGTCCGGGCCCCTGAGCCCCTCTGCCGCAGCACCGCCCTGTCGGGTGCCGAGAGCCAAGGCCCGGCCGACCCCGGGGCCTTTCCAGCTAACCGGAGGGCGGGCAAGAGGGTGGGAGGCGGAGGCGACGCTCGGGAGCCAGGTGGGGACTGGCTTCCCCACCACGTGGGCGCAGCCGGGAGCGGCTCCCGCCGGGCGCGGTGGCGGCGCGGCTCGCTGGCCAGGCCGGGAGCGCTGCGGGGGTCTCCACCCCCCGCCTGGGCCCCGCCGGACTCCGCGTGAATAGCAAGTAGGGGGAGAACAGAGCAGACGCTTTCTGGACGCGGCGGCCGCCCCGCGCTGGTGCCTCTGGGCCGGCAAAGGGCTCTTTATTCAGCACGGGGGAGGGGGCCCCCTCCCTGGCGGGACTGCGGGGACGCCGGGCCACCCAAGGAAGTGGCCGCTCTCCTCCACTCTGCCCATCCTTGCTCAGAGAGACCTGGGAGGGCGAGCCTGGCATGTCCTCGGATCATACACCCCTGGAGGCCCTGGAGCCTTGGCAGAAGTTGCTAGACCCACCGTGGCTTGCTCCCCTCCCTCAAGGGCTGCACAGGAGCCGGGTCCTGGACCCACGAGCCCAGAGTGGTGGGGGTTCCCTCCTCAGGCCTTCGGGGATTGGGGTCTGGGCGGTCAGGCAGGCTGTGTGGAGGTAAGCAAGCGGAGTCTTGAGGCACCTCACCTGCACAAGTGTGTGGCTCTGGGCAGCACCTGCCGGACACCTGACCAGGAAAGGTTCTCCAGGTTGGCCCGCTGTAGGGCAGAACCTTGGCACCCATGGTGCCCCAGCTCGCCCCCTGGGGCCCCAGGCTGGGGCATGGGCCATGGAGGGCAGCCTGGTGTGCCGAGTGCGGGGCGGCCGGTCAGTGAACGTTGGTTCCCTCCCCTCACACCTTTGTCCCGTGTCTCCCCCAGCTGCTCGATTCACTGGGCCAGCTCTTAGCAGGCTGATGGCCAGTGGCCCCAGCGAGCCTGCAGCAGGCTACTGAATGCTGGGCAGGCCCCCGGCAGCAGGGCTGTGGTGCGCTGACCCCAGGCCCAATGAGAAGTGAGGGCCGGCCGGACCAGAGCTGACCCCTCATACACCCAGGGCGTCCCTGCAGGTGGAGGTGGGCAGAAGCCAGGGACAGAGAGAGAGCAGCAGGCGGCTTGGGGGCGGAGCTGACTGTGCCCGCCTGCAGGGAGCACCATGGAGGAGGTGGTGGTTGCCGGCATGTCCGGGAAGCTGCCCGAGTCTGACAACTTGGAGGAATTCTGGGCCAACCTCATCGGCGGCGTGGACATGGTGACAGACAATGACAGGCGGTGGAAGCCCGGTGAGTGGGCAGCCTGCTCAGGGGGCCCTTCTTGCTGCCCGGGGCCGCCCGGGCTGGGAGGGGCTGGGCTCTGGGCTCCGGTCTCAGGAGGCGTGGAGGGTCGTCCTGGCGTGCATCTTGGCCTATTTTGCAGCTAAGGTAGGTGGCCTGCCAGGGTCCCAGAGCTGCAGGACAGGGCCAGGGAGAGGCCCAGTGGGCGAGCACTCCGCCAGCCACTACTGGCCCACATGTTCCGAGGCACATGGGCACCGGGTTCTCTCTGGAGAAGCCAGTTTGACGCAGTCACGCCCAGCAGGCCCCTCTGCGGGGTGGCTCTACCTGATGTGTAGGGTGTGAGTCAGCGAGGTGGCGCCCGGCCCGGAGGCAGGCCGGGCAGAAGATCTGCAGCCAGGACAACGGTGGCCTGAAGGAGGGCACTGTGCTGTGGGGCCACCGCACACGGGTGCCCAGTGGAGTCTGCCCTCGGAAGTGGGGCTGGAGTCAAAGTTGGCCACACACTGCCAAGTGGTGCCCAGGCCAGGCAGCACTGCCCACCCTCCGGGGGGCGGGGGTGCGCAGGCCCCGTCTCAGCAGACCCCTGCCCGCCCATGCCCACAGGGCTCTACGGCCTGCCCCGGCGCTCCGGCAAGCTGAAGGACCTGTCCAAGTTTGACGCTACCTTCTTTGGGGTCCACGCCAAGCAGGCGCACACCATGGACCCTCAGCTTCGCCTGCTGCTGGAGGTCGCCTACGAGGCCATCGTGGACGCAGGTGGGTCATTGGGAGGCCATGGGCAACTTGGGGCCACAGTGTGACAGCAGTGTTCTCACTATTTTGCTCCTAAAAGCGGTGACGTTCAGAGTGTAGCTGAACAGAGACGATGGGGGCAGCGGGGGGCTTAGGAGATGTGGCCCCTTGGGCAGGGCGGGGTGTCACCGTCTCACCAGGTGTCCTGGGCCAGCCCTGAAGCCCCGGCTTGCTTCCTCCCTGTCGGATGGCTGACTTTGGGGTGAGGGCCAGTTCCGGGCCCCTGGGACTCCTGCCCTCCCCTCTACCCGCCCCTGGCTTGTATCTGGCCAGGAGGCAGCGGTCCTTTGTCTTGGGGCACAGGCCTGTCCTTGCTGCCTGTGGGGAGCAGTGGCTGGCTGGCCCTATGAGGACCTTGGGGTCAACATTAAGCATGACAGGGCTATGGACACGCACCCCTCTCAGGAGTAGGGAGGGGAGGTGAGCAGGCCCTGTGGCCTCCCCAGCCGGTGGCGGTGGACACCTTCCCACTGCCCAGGCCCCAAACAGAGACCTTGGAGGCCGCTGCCTGGGGGCTGGCCAGAGTCCCTCCCTCTTTGACGTTTGGACACTCGGCCTTTGTCTCCTCCTGTCTTATCTCTCCCATCCCGGGGCAGCCGCCCTTGGGGCCTGGGTGCCCATTGGCCTTTTGGGCTGGCCAGACCCTGCTGGCAACACCAGGGGCCAGGGGAGTAGCCTGGGACAATGCCGCCCTCTGTCTTCAGCACTGGCTGTCTCTGGCCACTGCCTGACCCAGAGCCTAGAGCCCTACCTGGCACCACCTTCCTGTACCCGCCACCCCACCCCCCGCCCTAGTTCCTTGTGACCTGGTTACCTGTCCACTCTTGCACCACCTGGACTGGCCAGGCTCTGCTCACTCTGCCTGGCCCTGCTCAGACCTCTAGTTAGGTGAAGATGGAGCTCCCTCCTCCCAGCTGTGGAGGCCTCCCCCCGAGAGCCAGGTGGTGGGCAGTGTGTGGCCCAGTGGGCCCAGCCGCTGAGTCTGCCTGCCACCTCCTAGGCATCAACCCGGCCTCGCTCCGAGGGACGCACACTGGCGTCTGGGTCGGCATAAGCGGCTCTGAGGCTGTGGAGGCTCTGAGCCGAGACCCCGAGACCCTCCTGGGCTACAGCATGGTGGGCTGCCAGCGGGCTATGATGGCCAACCGCCTCTCCTTCTTCTTCGACTTCAAAGGTGGGTGCCCGCGGGGAGCCTCCCCTCCCCCCAGGAAGGCCGCGGGCCTGGGCTCACGGCCCCGCCCCGTGTTCCGCCTGCAGGGCCCAGCCTTTCCCTGGACACGGCCTGCTCGTCCAGCCTGGTGGCCCTGCACAACGCCTACCAGGCCATCCGCAGTGGCGAGTGCCCGGCGGCGCTGGTGGCGGGCATCAACGTGCTACTCAAGCCCCAAACGTCCGTGCAGTTCATGAAGCTGGGCATGCTCAGTCCGGACGGCACCTGCAAGTCCTTCGACGACAAGGGTGAGGCCGCGGACGGGCGGGGGGCCACCGGGCAGCACCCCTACCCCGGCCTCACAGGACACCACCCGGCTTGGGGTCCACCCAGCCCCTGAATCCACAGTGCTCTCTGCCCTCAGGGGACGGCTACTGCCGCTCAGAGGCTGTGGTGGCCGTCCTGCTGACCAAGAAGTCCCTGGCCCGGCGGATGTACGCCACCATCCTGAACAGTGGCACCAACACGGATGGCTTCAAGGAGCAAGGTGGGCTGGCGGGAGCGGGCGGGGGGCCGCAGCCGGGGGCCGGCGGGCGAGGTGCTGAGGCCGCCCTCCCCCAGGTGTGACGTTCCCCTCGGGAGAGGCTCAGGAGGAGCTCATCCGCTCCCTGTACCCCGCGGCCGGGGTGGACCCTGCCTCCCTCGAGTACATCGAAGCCCACGGCACGGGCACCAAGGTGAGGCTTGCCCTGACCCCACCTGCCCCCCATGCCTGAGCTGCCAGGCACCCTGACCTGTGTCCTCTCCAGGTGGGCGACCCCCAGGAGCTGAACGGCATCGTCCGAGCCCTGTGTGCCACCCGCAAGGACCCTCTGCTCGTGGGCTCTACCAAGTCTAACATGGGGCACCCAGAGCCTGCCTCGGGGCTGGCAGCGCTGGCCAAGGTGGGTGGGGTGCCTCCCGGGGTCTTCCCGGGGTGCTCGCCGGGTGGAGGCAGAATCCCCACGGGTTGTGCGGCAGGCGCCAGCCTCTGAGGCCCAG